TATATATATATATATATATATATATATATATATATATATATATATATGTGTGTGTGTGTGTGTGTGTATACATGTATACCTATGTATATATATAACTGAATGACTTTGTTGTACACCTGAAAGTAACACATCGTAAATCAACTATACTTCAATAAAAAAGTAAAAAAATATATCACAGCATATGTAATATTGCCAAATAGTGATATATGCAATGGAGAAACATGCAGCAGTTAGGTACTGAGATCAATAGGAATTATACTTTAAATGGGGTGATCAGAAAAGTCTCTCTGAGGAGGTAGCATTTGAGCAGATTGGAGCAGAAATCTGCATGAAATAAGAATGAGAGCTCTGTAAAAATCTGAGCAAGGATGATTCTGACAGATAAAGAGCTAGCACAAAGGCCCTAACCTTCAGGAACATGCGAGGTGAAGATCAAGGATTGGCAAGAAGGCCACTGTGTCTGGGCCCTAGTGTATGACGGGAAGTGGCAGGAAGTGAGGGCAGATTGTGGAGTGGTCTAGTAAACCATAGAAAGAGTTTCAGATTTGTTTTCTAGGAGGCCATTGGAGGGGTAGCCTCCAGCGGTAGAGAAGGGGTATGCATGGCTTGGCTAATGTTTCAAAGGGCTCATTCTAGAAGATAAGAAAATAGACACCCTCCCTTTAAAAAATTTTTTTCCTAGAAGAACTGAGCTTTCAAGAAGAATCTCTGGAGAAGCTGCACACAGGTTTTCCCTTGTCTCTATTAAATTCCCATTATGAAAGACAGCTTACATTATGCTGAAAGCTTAAAAACATTGCCTCCAAAGATTTTAACACACCAGAAGGTTATAAGATGCTTCTATATCTGAAGCAATGATTGGTTCATTCAGAAAGAAAAATTAGCGCTGTGGCTTGCTGGAGCTGGTATCCGGTAAGTATTAGCTTTTTCCCAGAAGTTTCTCTCTGGGTCAGTAAATTTGTCAGCTACTGGTTCTCTTGGTCACATAAAAAAGGATACAAAAGGACCAGTCTAATTAAGCCAGATGATTCATGGAGACATAACATTCCCCCAAAAAATATTTATGTGGCATTTTTAGGGCCCTTACTTTGCCCGAGTGTAGACAAAGGTAAAGTGGAATCTATTTATCCTATCCACCAACAACTAAGGAGGATTTCATGTCCCTGTGATACTAAGGTCCATCTACTAAAACGGACAACTGTGGATGGCTTCCACTGGAGGCAAGAGCAAGTGAGAGAGGCAAAGGTATGGTACGGACGAGGCCTTCATAGCCACACCCCATTCTTTAGGTGACTGTGGTGACTCACCTGAAATACTTAGAGTGTTTAGTGGAAAATGGGAACGATGATGGGGAGCTTTGCATACACGAGAGCAAACAGAAAAAATCAGATCATTGGGGGCTCAACTCACAGGCCGCCGCCTCCTTGAGGCCTCCCTTGAATTTACAGAACCAATTCCTTTCTCTTTGAGGTTCTTAACAGTTTCTATTCCACAATGACCTCCCCTACGGCAGCACTGTCTAGTTGTGTGTGAATAAATCTAGCTCCTGGAGGAGAGGCATTACATCCTATTCATTTTGTACCCCCTACAGCATCTGTAGCACAGCAGATGGTCAACATGTGTTTGATGAAAGAATCTGAATGAAGACATAACTGTTAACATCCGTTTCAATAAGATGTACATGTATAATCTTCACAACAACTTTATGAATTAGGGACTATATCTCAATGTTGAAGATGACAAAATTAAAGTCTAGCAAGGTCATGGAGGCTTAAGATGAGACTGAAACCAGGTTCCAAAGGAACCTTCACATTACAGGTAAATTCATTAGTAAGTAGATTTTTAAGGGAAAAAGCAACATAAAAAGCATGTTAGTGGGAAAAGTTTAATTGTCACTTAATAAGTACAGCTAATAACGGTCTGTCAAAAAGAATATAGTTAGAGTCAATGATTACTTTTATTTTTCAAGTTAAGAAATACTTGACACATGTAAAATAATGTGACATACATGCAAGTTATAAAGTATGAGAATAAAAACACCCCAGTATCCACCACCAGTTTAATAATTAGAACAGAACCAATGCAGAAGCTCTCTGTGCTCCTTCCACACTGTCCTTCTACCCCTTGCCAAGAGTCATACCCTGACTTTTTGTGTTTGTCATTTGCTTGCCTTCATTTCTAATTTTCCCACATATCTAATATCCTTATATGATATATAGTTCTCATTTTTAAAATTTTTAGATAAATCTTATCTATTCTTGGGCAAACTGCCTT